GAATCGATGATACCATTTCGTGTCAGACTTGGATTCCGCCAGTATATCCTCAATAAAAGACATAAATATGGACTCAAATTGTTCAAATTATGTGTTACTGGTGGATATACATATGCAGTAAAATTGTATGGAGGAAAATCTACTAGACCAGAGAATACAAGTGTTGCGACGGAGGTAGTGTTGCAACTTATGGCACCGCTATTAAATAGTGGTAGAACGTTGGTGACGGACAAGTTTTACACAAGCATTACTTTAGCTCAGCAACTCAATGCAGCTAACAATCGTTTAATCGGAACTCTACGTTCTAAAAGGAAATTTAATCCGACACAACATAATTGTAGGCAAGTGAAAGGATAAAAGGTATGTATGATTTTTGACCACTAAAGATATACCAGAAATGCAAGATATATATACATCAAGAGGCACTAGTCAAAAACCTTCCACCATAATAGAATATAACAGAACGAAATCCTTTATTGATGTGTCAGACCAGAAAGCAGCATATGCAACTACAATTCGGAAAGGTTTGTAATATTTTAATATTTGCCGAAAAACCAAACATATTATTTTTTTAATTTTTAAGGATTAAGTGGTATCAAAAAACCATTTTTGAGTTGGTAACAAACACAGCAGTTTTAAACGAGCATAAACTATTCACAGAAGTAACTAAGAAGAAAATATCAATAACTCAGTTTTGTGAACAATTGGTAATGGCATTACTTCAGTTAGATATCAATGACAAAAAAACAGAACCAAAAGAATTGGACCATTTTCTCACAGACCTAACAAAACGTGGGAGATGTTCATCATGTTACAGGAATATTGCTATGAAATATGGACAGGCACAGGCCGTAAAAAAAGCTAAAAAGGTGTCCACGACATGCATACCATGTAAAGAAGTTAATCTGTATCTATGTCACAAATGTTTTTTTGGTACTCATGTTGTTTCTGTAAAAATGTAACGTGTCCAAATTTGATGCACATGGTCATGTATATATATATATATATATATATATATATATATATATATATATATATATTAATATATATATATATATATATATATATCTATATATATAATGGCTATACACCCCAGCGTGGGGTTAATCCGCAAATGCTTTCTAGATCCTATTTCTTAAGTGGATCAGTCTTTTTTGTGTTTATCTTATCTTCTTGACAATATCTCTCCATTTTTTCTTGTCTCTAGTTTTTCCTCTCAATTCACTGACTCCTGCCCTTTGGAGGTCTTCTTCAACTTCTTGCAGTCACTTTGATCTCGGTCTTCCCCTTCTCTTTCTTCCTCCTGGATTCCATTCTATCATTGCGTATGTCACTGCCTCATCGCCTGCTCGCCAAATGTGACCTAACCATCTAACTCTGCATTGCTTTATTTTAGTTACGATGTCTTCCCTAAGTTCTTCCTTAATTTCTGCATTTGTTCTGCTTCTATATTAATTTTGCTCTGTTCTGATTGGTCCTAGTATGGTTCTTATAATCTTTCTCTCTGCAATTCTTAAGTCTTCTTCATCTTTTTTAACCATCGTCATTGTTTCCCCTGCATATAATAATATTGGTCTAATTATGGTGTTATAAATGCTCATCTTGCTTTTTTTAGTCAGTGTTTTGCTTTTAAGTAATCTTTTATTTGCAAAATAAGCTTTATTCGCTGCGAATATTTTTTCTTTTATTTCGGATTTCCTTTCTCCGGATGTACTTATTGTAACTCCTAGGTATTAGAAGTATTCTACTTCTTCAAACTCGGAACTTCCTATTTTGATTTTTTCCTTTATTGGTTTTTTCCCTAATCTTAATATTCTTGTCTTTTCTTGATTTAATCTTAGCCCCATTACCTCCCCTTTCTCTCTTATTTCTTCAAGCATTTCTTTCATTATTTTTCTGTTCTTTGCAATAATAGCAATATCATCTGCATATGCAATTATTTGACCACCTCTTGTTCTGAGATTTCCTTTATTTATATTTCGCAGTACATATTCTAATGCTAGATTAAATAGCGTTGTTGATAAGGCATCTCCTTGTTTCATCCCTTTATTTATACTGAATTCCTCTGTCTCTCCTCTTTGTGTCTTTATGCTTATTTTTGTAGTTCTCATTGTCATTTCTATTAATTTTCTGAGTTTATGTGGAATTTTTAATTTTTTAAGTGCTGTCATTAATACGTCTCTTTTAATAGAATCAAATGCCTGGTTGAAGTCTATGAATAACATTTCCAATTCTAATTTATACTCGTTTGCTTTTTCCATTATTTGTTTTATTGTGTGTATTGCACACATCTTCCTTCTGTGAATCCACATTGGTACTGTCCTACTGTCTTCTTTGTGATCTTTGATAACCTCTTTTTTATTATTAATGTCAATATTTTATATGTTGTATTTAGTAATGTTATTCCTCTATAATTTTCACCGATTTGTTGGTCTCCCTTTTTATGTACTGTTATGCTCTGTCCTACCTCCCAGTCACCTGGCATTTTCTCTTCTTTCCATATATTTTTCAATAGTGCCAGTATTTTTCCTCTTAGTTCCCTTCCCCCGTATTTTATTAGTTCCATATTAATTCCATCTTTACCTGGGGCTTTTCCATTTTTGCTTCTCTGTATAACTTCATCCAATTCCTCTAACGTTGGTTCTTTTGAAATTTCGATGTCTACTTCATTTGCTTCTTCTTCGTGTACTGTTTCCTCCTCATCATGCATTTCTTCTTCTGTTATTTCCTCCGTCAAGAGCTCTCTGTAGTAATCTCTCCATACTTGCTTGTATTCTTGGTCCTCTATTATCAATATTCCCTCTCTATTTTTTATTCCGTTTGTTTTGCCCTTGTATTTTTTGTTTTGTTCTTTAATCTTTTTGTAAAAACTTTTCGTGTTTCTGTTTGTTCTTTCCTGCTCTATTTCCTGCATTTTTTTGTCTACCCATCTTCTTTTATTTTGCCTTATCACTTTCTTAGCATTCCTACTTAATTGCACATGGTCATGTACCAAGCCAAATGTCTTGAGTTTTATACTTACAGAAAATCGTCCCCAATTTCAGGAAAATAATACAGAACATGCAGGAAATGGGACATACGACCAGATAGAAATATGTCTGACAGAAGTCAAGAGAGCAATCAAGATATTGAAGAACAAAAAAAGGACCCGGAGGAATACCAAACGAAATAATTAAAAATTGAACGGAAAAGTTATACCGCATGCTACACAAAATGTTCGAAAGAGGACTAAATGGAGAGGAAATACCTGCGGAATGGACACAAGCATACATCACATCCATACATAAGAAAGGAAACAGGAAAAATGTGAAAACTACAAAGGAATTAGTATAGTATCGTCGGTAGGTACACTTTACGGGAAAATTATCAGGGAAAAACTAGAACCTGAAATAATAGGAAAAATTGGAGAAGACCAAGCAGGGTTCACAGTAGGAAAATCATGCCTAGATCATACGTACACATTAAAACAACTGATAGAGAAGAAAATAGCAAAAGGTAGACCGGTCCATCTGGCGTTTGTTGATCTAAAGAAGACATACGACTCAATACCTAGAGTCAAATTATGGGAAGCAATGAATGATCTCGGAATCCGACAGACACTAATAAAAGCAGTTAAAGCACTGTACAAAGAAAACAAAGTAGCTATTAAATGTGGAAATAAAGCCTACAATCCATTTAAGACGACAAAATGACTTCTACAAGGCTGTGTTACGTCCCCTTCTTTGTTTAAAATATTCTTGGAAAAGATACTTAAACCATGGAGGAGAAAGTGCGAAGAAATTGGCATACCAGTAAGAGACGAAAACCTATACACCTTAAGTTTTGCCGACGATCAAGTAGTCATAGCACAAGATGAAGAAGATCCAGCTTTATGCTCAGAAAACTAGAAGAAGGATATAAAAACAACGGAATGGAAATAAACTTAGAGGAAACCGAATACCTATCAACAGAAAACAAGGATATAAGAAACCTAGAGATAGACGAGGGAGGACAAGTAAATGGAAAAGATAAATTCAAGTATTTGGAACCATAATATCGAACCAGGGAACAACAGAAGAAGATATAAACAACAGACTAAGACAAACAAAAAACTGTATAAGACAACTAAATTCAGTGCTGTGGGATAAGAACATTACGATAAAGACAAAAAAGAGAATATATAATACCCTGACAAAAAGTATCCTGACATATGGGTCCGAAAACTGGACAATAAACAAAAGAAATAGAGGTAGAATAAGAGCAGTAGAAATGGAGTTCCTGGGGAGAAGCTGTAGACTTACAAAAAGAGACAGAATTGAAAACGCAGAGATTAAGCGGAGAATGGGAGTGCAATCAGACATAATCGACTATATAGAGGAGAAGAGAATATCCTGGTACGGCCACGTTAGAAGAGCGGACAGAGGACGCTGGATAAACAAAATCACAGAATGGAGCCCGATCGGAAGAAGAAAGAGAAGAAGACCCTGAAGGTCATTCAGAGACGAAATCGACGAGGCTATGGAAAAAAGAACCCTGCGAGATGGAGTCTGGAATGACAGGGAAAATTGAAGAAAAATGTTGAGTGAAGGAAGACAGTGAAAACTGTGGAAATCCTTAGTAGTAGTAGTATTTAATTAAAATGAAGTTTGATTTTCCTAAAAAAATATTTAATTTGGCCTATATCTATCAATAAAAACAGTTTTAAAATAAAACGTATCTGGTCCGGCAGTAAAGGTTTCTTGTATTTGCCTGGTCGTTAAAAAAGCGCATTTTTATTGTTATTGTAAGCGTGTATTAATTATTAAGCTACTCGTTATGGGTCTTAGGCAGCTTTAATTTCGTGTTACGTGTTCTTTACATTCAGGAATAGATCGAACTAGTAAATTATTAATTAATATTACATTTCCATCTTCATCTTCTTCTTTTTTTTAATATCTAGAAAATTACTTTAAGAAAAATTAATTAAAATTGTTTCATATTATTATTAAACTAAAATTAAAGTTAAAACGAAAAGTACTTACTGGTTATTATTTCTTGATCATCATAAAACATCTCAACATTTTTTATTGCAAGATTTAACAAAAAATCAGGAAAATAGGCCTGCTTTTTGATCAAACAACCTTTGACTTTCTTAATAGATTCTTGACTACATTCTTTGATATTATTTATAAAGTCTTCTTTATTATCTACGTAAATTTTTCTTTTGGAAACACATGCTTCAAGATCATTAAATGATTGCTAAAAAATAGTTCATTTAAGATATCAAATAATTTAATATTAAAACTTATACTCCTAGTAAAAAATGATCACGACTCACATTTGCTTTAATTTGCAATGTCGAAAAGGTAATTGACTTTCTCTAATAAACCAACTCCGCTGCTGTGCAAAGCAACCATCCAAGCAAACGCAATTGGAGGCAGTCCACAAGAAGCGTAACCTTGGTAGATGATCTTCTTAAACATCTGTTTACAAAGGACCTTTACTGTCTAAGACACGCTAACGATAAACTATCGGTGCTGGGATAAATGGAGAAAGATTTCACTTGCCAAAGAAATAAAATACTTTGACTTTGAGTTTCGCCATTATTTCTTTCTTTGATAGTTTTGCAGCCGTACGTCATCGTCGGTAGTAAACACTAATCGAATGCATTTTTCTTTCCAGGTAGGGTCGCATCTTCGATTTAAATGTATAACTGCATTTTTGCAAAATATGCCCTTGCCAGTTTAATTTTTCTGTTAATTTATGGAAGTCAAGATTTATGTATTAATTAGCCCAGGTAAACATACTCGTCTACTCTCTTAAGTGTAGTGTTGTTTATTATTACATCTTGGACATCCATAAAATACTAATCCATTGTAACATTTAAGGCTGTTTTTATAATACAACTATACTTGCTCACATTTGTTATAAATGGATTTAATAAGTTATTGTAATCCGTCAAATACAATTTTACTATGTGAAATTTTGATTTTATGACCAATTCTTTGTACAACTGGGTAGCTGTGTTTATAATTGATATTGTATTACTTAACATGTATGTAAGTCACTTTTATGTATATAATAATATATTTTTATTCCCAAAATGGGAGGCAACTTTACGGATTTCGCTTTTAAATTAAAAGAACGTTTTAATTCCTTTCAAGAAAACGTTACTCTTACAGATATGGACTGATGCTGTTTTTCAAATACAAAACGAAACGTTTAGGCTAATATATATGAAACAGTAACCATCTAGCTTGTTGCTTCTCTTCTCTTATTTGACTAAGATCTTCAAGAAGTACAGTGTGATAATATTTTTTAACAAACAGATCATTTGTTAAAAGATATTAAAATCAAAATGATCACAGTAATATTATAAGAAAAAAATTTTAATAGATTTTAAAACTATTACACATTTCTGCTAAAAATGCTCATATGAGACTTAAATGCTAAAGTGGGAATGGGTAGATGAGGAGAAATCGTAGGATTCTTTTTACTGACGGAGCGAAACGAACGCGAATATCGCCTGATCGCCTTCGCTTTGGAAGAAAAACTGGTAATCACCAACACTTTCTTTAAACTACCAGCTAGGAGATTATATACGTGGAGATCACCTCAAGACACCACAGATCACATTATCAGAAACCAAATTGATTACATTATGGTGAATAAAAGATTCAGAAACTAAATAACATCAGCCAAAACATATCCTGGTGCTGATATCGGGTCGGACCCTAACCCACTGGTAGTCATCATCAGACTACAGCTGAAGAAAATAGAGACTGCAAAAGCAGGAAAATACGATTTAGGACTATTAAAAAAGTAGACACTAGGTACCAGATACAAACCTATATAGAAAAAGAATTAAAAAATATAGACAAAGCTAATAAAGCAGATAACAAAATGGCAAAACTACAACAAATTAACCAGACAATCCTAGATAAATATTTTCACCCAACAACGGTTAAAAAAAAGAGTCTATTACTGATAAAATCCTAAATATGATGAAGAATAGAAGAAGAGCCAAAACAAAAGCATGTGGGAGTATAACAGAGAAATAGAATCATTGGAAAGTGACACGACTCGTTTAATCTCCACAAGAAGGTAAAAGAGGCAGCAGGGAAGTATAAACCCGATAATAGAGATTGAACAAACGAAGAATATATGGAAAAGATACGTTAAAAAGACATTCGATGAAGACAGAGATAACAACCAGATAATTATAGAATACGACACAGAACCACCAATTACTCAAGACGATGTCAAAGCCGCAATTAAGGGCATCAGGGCCGACAACTTTCATTCAGAATTTCTAAAAATCATGGGACGCCGAGATGTAAAATGGCTTATGACAACGTTCAATCAAATCTATGACTCGGGAAAAATCCCAGAGAGCTGCTTGAAATCTACATTTATTGCTATACCTAAAAACCTACTGTAAAAAATGCGAAGAACATCGTATTATTAGTCTAATGAGCCATATTCTTAGGACCTTCTTAATGATAATCCACAAAAGAATTTATCAGAAATGAGAAACACAGATCTCAAGAACGCAGTTTGAATTTAGGAATGCGTTAGGTACAAGAGAAGCCTTGTTTGTAGTTTAGGTATTATTTCAAAGGTGCAGAGACGTCAACTGCGATATTTATGTATGCTTTATCGACTACCAGAAAGATTTTGACAGAATCAAGTACGATAAAGTCATGGATATGCTAAAGGCAACTGATCTGGATAAGTAAGACGTTCGAGTAATCAAAAACATATACTACAACCAATCAGCAACCATTCGGGTAAAAGACCAACTAACAGAGGAAGTTGCAATAAAAAGAGGAGTTCTACAGGACTGCATACTCTCTCCCCTACTATTTAACGTCTATTCGGTATACGTCATGAGCTAGGCCATAGAGCATATCGAAGAGGATATTCTCATAAATGGTGAGCGCCTGAATAACATCAGATATGCAGACGACACCATCCTCTTTGCAAACAGTTTAGAAGGTTTACAGACACTAGTAACGCAATTGTGGAGAATCAGTCAAGAATACGGGCTTGATTTTAACATCAAGAAAACAAAGTACGTGGTCATCAGTAAGAAGCATATTCCACCAAGTCAATTACTGGTAGATCAGCAACAAATACTGCAAATGCCCCGTTACTTCTATTTAGGAACCACCGTAAACGACCAATGGGACCACTTAATTGAGATAAAAAAATAATTAAAAAAGCCAGGTCAGCTTTTTTCAGAATTAGCAAGATATTTAAGAGCCAAAACCTAACCTTAAAACGAAAATCTGTTTATTGAGATGCTATGTGTTTACAGTGGTGCTCTATGGGGTTGAAATCATGGACACTAACAGAGGCATCCATGGAAAAACTTGAGGAGTTTAAGATGTGGTGTTATAGACCGATACTGAGGTAGGTATCTCCTGGGTGGATCGAATAACAAACATTAAGTTTCTACGTCGGATGGATAAAACAGGTGAAATTATATTCACAGTGAAAAAATAGATCATAGATATTACCTGCTGCAACTTATATTACAGGAAAAGGTCTACGGAAAGAGGGGACCAGGAAGAAGAAAAACATCTTGGCTCCAGAACCTACGAAAATTGTTTTCCTTGACAACTTCAGGACTATTTCGAGCTGCGGTCAATAAAGTAAGGATTGTCATGTTAGTAGCGAACATCCGTAACGGATAGGCACCGTAAAAAAAGAACATATTTCTGAGAATGCAAACAAAAATAGAAGTAAAACTATTTTAGAAGTTTCAACAAACATGTAAGAACAATCTGTATAGAGCAGGTACACAAATTATTGAGTTAGCGATATTTGATTTGTAGGACAAAAGTTTGAGAGTTTCTTTTCCCAGTATATGTTTGGAAGAAGCACGATTATTCGTGAATTCGTTATCGTGAATATTCATGAATATTTATAGTGAAAGACTAACATGTGAGATACATAATAATATTAATTATGAATTTAGTACGCCAATGACTATATTAACTAATGTCTCTAATATGTAACAAAACTTATAAGATAAACACTGAATAATTATTTAATCTTACCTTTAAATCATCTTCAATATCAGTAAATCCATTATCAACACAATTGGTTATGATAAGGGTTTTTAATTGTTGAGTGGCTGCAGTAGTGATCTGGCCGAGAGTACTTCTTACAATTCTTTTTAAAACTAAAACAATAATACTGTCAGTATCTTAGCTGGGTAATTTTCACTAGTAATAGGCACTATCAAGTAAATATTTTGAATATCAAATACCTCATTGAGAATAGATTAAAAAACTAAAATAAATTACAGTATTTATTACTTCCATAACAGACAAATATTTTCAATGCACACCTTTATGCTGTATACAACAAATTTTAAGGCAGAGTTAACTCCGATTATAATATAAATAACATTATTTACATAAAAAATTTACATAATGTAAAAAATATAATTACAATAATTGAGGTACTATAATATGTGTTGTTTTAAAAATGTAGTTATGTAATATTCCCAACCAACGCAAACAAACCATAGAACCTAATAAAACAGTTAAGTTGTACCTGGACCATTTTAGTTTTCATATTGTTTATTGTGAATATAACAATAATAGGTTTTAAAAGTCGTCTGACTACAAACGTTCAAATTGGTTTTTCTAATTTCATGACAACAGGTGCATTGTTTATTGACATAAAAAGTGCATATGACAATATTGATTTAAATATTCTCTGTGATAAACTTCTGTTTCTTGGCATTTTAAAATCGATGGCACATTTATTATCAAACCTATACAAAGAGAGTAGTGTATCGATAAGAGTAGGTCACAATATTATTGGACCCAAGATCACATCAAAAGGTATTCCACTGGGAGCTGTTTTAGGTCCACTTCTTTTTAATTTGTACACATACGATTTGCACAATTTGTGGTCTTCCAATATTGTTTGCTTACAATATGCTGATGATATTGTCATCTATTCACATAAGAAAACGTACAGTTAAACCACTACTGAACTCAAACATATTATGTACAACTTGGATAATTGGACTTGGTTAAAATGGATTCAATATTTCGTACCAAAAATGTACCGTAGTATTTTTTTCAAGAAAACACCCTATTAAACATCACGCTGTAACATTACATGGCAATGATATTCCAATTGTTTCGGAATTTAGATATCTTTTTGTCGTACTTGACAGAAAACTGCTTTGAATTCAACCTATTAATTATACAATTGGTCGCTGCGAAAAAGGTATTAATTTTCTTAAAATCGTGTGTAAGAGATCGTGGAGTGCAGATCAAAACATTGCATTGAATTTTTATCGAGCCTATATAAGATCTATAATAGATTACTGTTGTGTGGTATATGGGTCAGCTAGCATAACCAATTTACGTAAACTTGATTCAACTTCAAATTAAAGCTCCAAGGATTGTGTTAGGATTGATGAAAAGCACTCCAAATGAAGCCACCCTAGCTCTAGCATATGAAAACCCACTCTCATTGTGCAGAGAATATTTGGCAAGCAAATATTTCCCAAACCAACATTATTGTGGCACTTATAATGCAAAAATAAGTAATGAATTAAATACAGCTGATTTAACATCTACATACTTCATTAAAAAAAACTCTCCACCACTTGCAAGAGCAATTATAACTTGCAACGAACTGAAGTTAATAAATTCCCCTACATTCCCCTAAACTCCCCATATATATTTCCCACCTACCTAACCGTGGTTTATGTCTTGTTTGTTACTATAAAGCCGCTCTGATGAATCCCTGAACGTGAAATGCGTCCCCCTTCACTTCACTTCAATTCATACAATCCTGTATGAATGAATACTAATATTTATATATGTAATTAGGTGGCTAAAGGTTTCAAGTCAAAGCCAATAAAAAAAAGGTTTTAAAAGTAAATTTGCATGCATGTACAATATGAATATTTAATAAAAAAAAAAAATGGAAAGGTGAGTTCAATAAGTACTTACGTTTGTATTTTTGAATTATGGGTTTATATTTTTTTGTTCCAAAGAGATGATTAACCATTTTTCTATTCTTTAGTTTTCAGCATTACTTAAGTATTTATTTATTAAGTTACTTAGATGAATTTATGGTGGTTAGGTATGTTTTGTATATTTCAGGATGTAATTTGTATATTGTTTGAAAATATTCAATGTGTTTTTCTCCAATTACTCTCTTTACGTTTCTTCGAATACAATAGTAAGCTCTGCTGGTCGTATTATATTGGGTTCTATTTTATCTTTATTATTAAAACGATTGTCAAGAGGTGTATAAACACTGCAATCTGATCAGAAAGGGTAATAAGTAGTTCTTTTTCATTCTACTAAAAACGTATTAAAAAGATTACACTTAATAATATTTTTACAGGGTCTTTCTTACTTATAGCACATAATACACCACCCAACAAGAAGCGAAAGCTTTGTCGGTACCTTTGATGTTCGTAGGACAGAAATTTCGGAGGAAGAATGATAGTTGCACTATTTAGTACACTAAGAAAAGTAATGAGGAAGTCGTTATAAATAAAATAATAAAATAAATCCTCTTTTTCGTGCAGTCATCACAATAAGATTATTACAAAAATATGTATAACAGTATTATATTTTTTTTTACTATTAAACTACACACACAAATCAACGCTTCTTAATACGTAAACAAGCTTCAGTTTTTATAGGTTTAACTATTTAGAACATGGCGGATTCGCAGATTGGCAAATAAATTTTGATTGCGAAAAAGATCTTCGTTTCGCTTCTTGTTGGGTATTGTATTCTATGCTTACAGTAATTATTTACATAGGCACTTAGGTATTATAATAAGACACACTATTTTCTGTTTTTAAGTTTTTCTTCAGTCTTCGTTCTTACTCTGTGTTTTTGTGTTTTTTTACTATTTGATTTATATTTTAATTGGAATAAGCCACAATTAAAGTTTAAAATAAGTTTACTGACAATTTTTACTTCATAACTCGTTCTTAAAATACAAACATTAATAAAGTAAACAAAAAATTTGTTTTTTTTTCTACTTCTTATCTTTCTACGTAAAAAATTCTTCTTATAATTTAATTTTATCTGACTCATTTATATTGACAATTTAGACACATATAATACATTTTAAAGTAGACGACTTTAGAATAATATTGCCAATATTGCTGTTGCATTTCTGGGACGATTTTATTGTAAGATACTTTAATCGATTATTTAAAATCAACTATAACTTTCTGGCTAATTGGTTTATGCCGAGCCATTTAAAAAAGAAAAAAAAACTTTACCTTTAAAATATACCTCAGAAAAATCATACCATGTGAATCGTCTTTAAAAAGACAACCACATATCATGATGACAGTAAAATTTTTTTGTTCGTGATTCAATAGTAAATCACGAGAAACAAAAAAAAAAGAAAGAAACCTCATAATACTATCCCGACTTGCTAAGTACTTGGTCTTATATTTAGTTTACTCTCAATAGACACCAAATTCTGATTTTATAATTATGTATGTTATTTAAAAAACATAAATAAAGTGTCTTCGATATGTTTCTGATTTACTAATACTGATATTTTCTTAATATTAATTTCTTAATATGGGTAACCAGATTCTACTGCATAATTGGTCTTATTTAGCACAACTAAAGACGCCTTTTTGATTTTTTTCCTTTTACCATCAGTTTCTTTTAGGACTACACTTAAATCGTTACATTGAACCTTATGTTCACTTTCGCATGAGTTTGTACACATTTGAGATCTATCAAATTCTCTATTTTTAGTATAAGAGTGATGTTCACTTATTCTAACATTTAATGGTATTGATCGCATTCACAAAGTATTTTATGAGTAAAATTCTTTGTTCTTTCTTGTGAATTGTTTGGTTTAGTTGTAGATCAAATAGATCTCAATGTATTTGTTGTTTTGTATATTGTTAAAATGTTAAATTTATTTTCTATCTTTTCTAGTTCTATCTATCCAATATAGTTCTAAATTGTTGGTTCTATTCGGTCCATTGTTGAAATTTGCCTATGTATAAACGTTAAAGGATAATCACTTAAAAAACAAATGTAAAACAGATGTTAACTGTTCGTTAAAGCAGGTAATTTTGTCTGTATTGTATAAGAATTTATTGATTCCTTTTAAATAATAAGATAAAAAAAAAATAAGATTGTGATTTGATTTTTAATTTAGGAATCTGTTGGTATGTTTTCATTTCTATACACCCAAGGCTCATATCCAGTATCGCTCTTTAAGATTAAAACATCCAGAAAAGGTAGTGTATTATAATATCACTTTTTCATGGTAAATATTATTATACCTTATTTTTATCTTCTTTATTATGTTATTTCAATTTCTGTATTTTCTGGTAGTTAAAAAGCCTCGATATTCACATACTGATGATATTTTTGCTCATGATTGTTAGCATATTTAGTTATTATTTTCGTATCAGTTTTTATGTTTGTAGCGTTGAATGCAATTGTTTTTAACGTACCTGAGGTATCGATGCTGCACTGTAATACCTCGTTGTGAAATCATTGTATCTTTAAAATATTGTCTGTGCTAGCGCATCTTTAGAGGCAAGTACCGTATAGTCATATCGGTTTGAGTATTTCTTTGTAGATCAAAGTGTATTATCTATGGAGATCTTTAAGTCTTTTTCACGCAAAGAGTACAATTTTTTGTATTTCAGTTCAAGTTTTTTTATTTTTACTTTACATGGACCTTTCAGTACAGTTTTGCATCAAGACGCGTATCCTTACCTTAATAGTGAAATTCACGTGCACTGATATATTTATATTCTATTTTAATCCACACCTTATCAAAAGCCTATCACATCTAAAAAGATCACTAAAAAGACTTGTTTTCTTCTTGTGCCTTTTTAACAATGTTAGTAGCTATATGTACCTAGCTTATCGTTAAATAGCGTTCTCTTAATCCAAACTGATGTGTTGTGATTAACTTTTTTTGGTGGTGATAAGTCTTTTTGTTAGAATATTTTCATATAATTTTGAAATACGTGTAATAACGAAATGTTTTATAAATAGGATAAGAATTCAATCTGCAGTATTGAAATCAATAGAAGAGGAGAGATAATTGATTAGCTAACTAGGTCACCGGATTTAACACCCCTAGACTTCTTCTTATGGTGGTATTTAAAAACAATAATTTATGCTACTTAACTAGAATCTC